ACCCCCGCCTGCGCCCCAGCCCTGGCCCCCGAAACAAGGCCCTCCTCTGCCCTCCTTTGCCTTCCTTAAGGGTGCGGCTGCAGGGCTAGCTCCCCAGGGACTGCTCTGACACCGCCTCTGGGAAGCCCTCCTTGCATCCCAACCATGGCCCAAAGACCCTTTCTCCAACGGCACCCGGTGTCCTGTCACAGTCCTTTATTGCCACGAGGATCGGTCATTTTTTTTTTAAGTTCTGCCTCACAGTGCCATCCTCCCAGGCTGAACTCCCTCAGGTCGAGCTGGTTTCTGGTTTCTGGTTCCCTGAGTGTCATGGGGCCTGGCACAGAAGCGGCCAGCACGTGGGCATTACGTGAGGGAGTCTCCACGTCCGCTTTCCTGTCTGCCCTCATCTGGTCCCCTCCCAGACCCCCCTCTCGGCCTGTCTGGATGCCAGCCCTGGGCGGCCTTCCTGCCGGTACCACCCCCAGCCCAGCAGAGACGACACCTTGCAGCCACCCCAGGGAGGGGGTGGGGGGCGGGGAGGGAGCGGAGTCCCAAGGACATTCTGCCCATTGTGACCCGCCCTGACCTCACAGCCATCCCTTCCACCGCCAGGCCCGAGAGGTCGGGGAGACTGGCCTGGCCCGGAGCCCCCAATGAGCCACCTGTCCTCATCCCCCCAGAAACATAAGGGGGAGCACAAGGGCCACGGTCTCCCCCGTGGCTCAGAAAGGTGTGCTGGGCCGAGGCAGGAGCTCAGGGGGACCTGGGGGCCGGGTGCGGCAGGGCAGGGTCCAGGGGTGCCCCTCACCTGCCTGACCTGCTGGCCCTCGACAGGGGCGGCTCCCCCCGGGACAAGGACCGCAGCGTGACGGTCAGCAGTTCAGTGTCCATGCCTGCCGGAGGGAAGGGAAACCGGCCCAGCGGGCCCCTGTCTGCACCCCAGAGGATCCCCAACCGCCTGATCCACGAGAAGTCCCCGTACCTCCTCCAGCATGCCTACAATCCCGTGGACTGGTGGGTCGCTCTCCCGGGGCCCCCCCAGGCCTCTCCCTGACCCCCTGGGCCTCTGAGTGACACCCACCCTGCTGGGCCAGGTACCCCTGGGGACAGGAAGCCTTCGACAAAGCCAGGAAAGAAAACAAGCCGATCTTCCTGTCAGGTAATGCACCTGGCTTCCCTGGAACAGGGGGCGGGTGGCAGCGGGCAGGGGAGGGTCCTCGGGCTCAGGGGGCTCCCAGGAGATGGAGGTCGGAGCCTCTGCTGTCAGCCTGGCCGCGCGGCCAGGCCCCTGCGACTTCTTACTGGGTCCCCGGCCTCGCC